TGTCTAACATGAAATAATTTGTTCTTTAGAAGTTTGGGGATGTTCACCAGAATGACCACGCTGTTACTGTTAACTCACAGGCTTTAAGGAGCACTGAGCTAATAAATAAAATAAGGCTATTTGCAGCCACATGGATGGACCTGGACATTATCATATTAAGGGAAGTAAGCCAGAAGGAGAAAGATAAATACAATGATACCACTTATATGGGGAACCTAGAAAGATGACATGAGCCTATTTACAAAACAATAATTACTCAGAGAAACTAACAGACATAGAAACTTATGGCTTTGGTAACATGTAGTTACCAAAGGGGGAAGGTGAAGTGGGAGTCATAAATTAGGAGTTTGGGATTAGCAGATACAAACTATTGTAAACAAAATCAATAAACAACAAGATCCTACTGTATAGCACAGGGAACTATATTCACTAGCTTGTAATAACCTGTGATGAAAAAGAATCTATGAATTGATATCTATCTATCTATAACTGAATCACAATGCTGGACACTAAAAACACAACACTGTACATCAATTTGAAAGGAAAGGAAAGAAAGCATGACATTTCAGAAAAACTTACTCAGCTGATGAAACAATGAGTTGTGAATCTTTGTATGCTCTCAAGTAGCTTTGATTCTCTGGATTACGCACCATTACCTAAAAGGAAAAATTCTGAAATTTTGTGGCAATCCATAACATTCATTCATTCATTCATTCATTCACACATAACACATAGTGCTCCAGAAGACATAAAGATCAGGAAGGATGATCAGCCCTTGTCTTCTAAGGGAATAACAACCTATGTGTCCTAAATTGAAAATAGTACATCTATTGCTTTACTACCAAATTAAAACATCACTGTTATAACTGTGTGTTCATAATTAACATATTCTGTGCTATAAATTCCTGGTAATCAGTTACCAAGCACTTTACAGGTCAGAAAAGAACAGTCACTAATTTAATAAACAAACTATTGAAGTTCTTAAAGTAGATTCATCTAGAATTCTTAAAAATTATATATTTACCAAATGTACTTGAAGCACTCTAGAAGAGCCAAGGAATAATTTCCATTTCATCTATGCCAGAAACTTTTCATTTACACTAGATCATTTTCCCATAGATGTTTAAAAAAAAAAAAACTCCCTTGCTAATCCAGTCTGGCCAACACACAGCCTATGTGTCTTGAAATTCACTGCCAGCATAAATTCTGATCTACTCTGAACTTGCTTCAGTCATTCAGAAAAGTCAAAAAACAAATATACTTATGGCATACAGTTCAGTAGTACTCTTCAAAACCAAATATTATTATAAATGGTGATCATAAACAATGTGACTGAAACAGTAGTTACCTCAAGAAAGTTCTTATTAATTAAAAAATTAAACAAAACCCTGACTGCATTTAACTATTATCTTCTACAAACAAGTTATTACGCAGAAGCCCACATTAAGGAAAGAACTATAACATTTGGCAATAGGAACAAACTTGACATGCATGATTTCATAAGGTGCAACAAACTTAAAAAAACTACACTGCTCATTTAAAATGTTAACTTTGGTTGCTCAAAGAATGCATTACAATTTCAACTTGGATTAGCAAAATAAAACTCAAGGGATGTTTAATATAAAACTATGACAGTCTCACACACAGAGTCACATTTAAGATTAAGTAATTTCCCCCAATATTTGTTCATACTTATACTTTCTTAAACTCATAAACATCTCTCTGCTCCCCATAATGAGGCCATTAGTTTTTATTCATCTTCATCTCTACTTAAATGGTCCACACATCTTTCACTAGGA